TATCAAATGTCTGAAATTCAAATTGCTTGTTTTAAATAAAAAAAATTATTTTTTTTTTCCTTTTTCTTTTGGGTTTGATTTGAAATTTATTTTTATTTTTTTTTATATTCAATATTTGAATTGAAGTTTTAGTTTTTCAAATTTTTTTTAAGGATATAACGTTGTCAATTTTTTTGGAGTTTGAGAGTTATCTGATTTCTGGTTTGAGTTGTAATTTAATGTTTGAATGCTTACAAATTTTGTTTCGATAAATTTATTTACAATTTTTGGATTTTGAGTTTTGTATTGCCCAAATTTGCTCTTTTTATGATCCTGCAGTTGGAGAAACTTTTTTATTTCGGTTTTTCTTTTTATTATTTTTATAATATTTTTTTTAGTTGCTAGCCTGTTTCGTTTGAGTTGCAGTTCGAAGTTTCGTTTTTCACTATTTTTAGTTGCTCCGAAGAATTTGTTTAATTTTATTTGTTGTATTAATGTTTACATCCACTTTTTTAAATATTTCACACATATAAAAGCTCGAAGCTCCAGAGCGAACTTCTTGCAAAAAAAATTTTTTTTGGAAATCGTTTTTTGTTGTTGTTGTTTTTATATCATAATCTATTACAAATATTTTAAAACTAATGAACCGATGATATTTTTCTTCTACCCCGCTTTTTTTGTACGCTTCCACGGATTTTTACCAAAACAAAAAACCCAACAGAACATAATTAAATTTCCCTCTAAGAGGAAATTTTTAATTATATCGATGATAAATAACGGTAAAATATATTTTTTTATAAAAAAAATCAAAGATGTTATGTGTTTAGCTTATAAGAATGAATACACCCATGGTTAATATACATCGACATGAATGAATACATCACTAATTTTATTTTGTGTTAATGTGGCAACACTGGGCAACAAAATTTTTTTATTTACATGAAATATTTTTTCTAGCATCCATACATCATTTTCATACAATGACTAACTCGACTAAATGTTGTGCTAATTTTTGTGTTTTAATTTAATTTATATTTTGAAACCTATATATGAATCTGTGGACCCCCATATTTGGCTTGGAGGATCCAGGTCTCATTATTAGGATTAGAATTATTATTTTCCATAAATATTAAAAATTTTTCAAAAAAAAAAAATGTAAACCACAAAGAAGATGAAACGCCAAATAAAACAATCAACAGTGGCTACATAACTACTAAACGATAGATGGCTCTGTGGTAGCACAAATGTTCGCTAAGGCCAAACTGGTCTGTTATTAATAGAAGATTTAAAACCATGTTATAAATTATTTTCAATACATTCCTCACCAAATACTTTTCCCTTCATTTGTTAAGGCCAGATATTTTAAATTAAATGATTGAAACATGTGGCGCCCAATTGTGGCTAGAAGATAGCAAGGACATATAACATAATAAAATGTCACATTTCATTGTTGCTTTGATTCAATAGATGGCGTTGGTAGTAGAAACATATATTGTGTCACCATATCGTGACAAAGCAATATGATATATTATAAAAGAGCTGAAAATTTTATAGGATTTTTGCTGATTTTTATCGATTCTACAGGGTTGTCCATATTCGACGGACCCATCTGGCAACGCCATAACTTTTGACAGAGATGTCACATCGCTTAATGACATACCGCGTTTGAAGCGTCAGTCCAAGCAGATTTTTACCATGAACCAATACACGCCACGCGAGCGCTCTGAAATAGTTGAAATTTACATTCAACAGAAGAAGTCAATTGTGAAAACTCAACGTGCTTTTAAAACATTAAAAAATGTGAGAAGTGCGCCTTCTAAGAACACCATTATACGAGCTAGTCATACGAATACGACTGGTAAGGCTCTTTCTAATCCGAAGAGGCCATATAAAAGTCGACCAAGGCGATCGGCCGAGAATGTCGCTGCCGTACGAGCCAGTGTTGAGAGGTCCCCAAGAACATCCCAAAAACGCCCTTCTCAGCAGTTTGGCATGGCTCGGTCCACATTACAGCGGATTATTCGCATTGATTTGCATTTGTTCCCGTACAAAATTCAATTGACGCAAAGAATGTTGCCTGCGGACAAGCCTCGTCGATTGGAATGGGCCCAAAAAAAACATGGGTCCGTCGAATATGGGCCTGTATGTGCATGAAAATGCTCTGCAATAGATTTTCAGACCATGTTAATCGTATCTGATGTTTTTCACTGCGGTTTTCCGCCATTTTTTTCGTGATTTCGGAATAACACTTCTGTAAGTTCTCTAATGCATTTTTGTCATGACGTCTGCCATCTATTACCTGATAGAAAAATTAAATGGCCAAATGCCCATGCGGCAATAGATGGCTCTGTAGTATCAAAGTGGACTGAATTGTATATCTTTGTATTCTTATATTATTTTATACAAAATTCCCATATACCTTGATTTATGGTCATATATCCTGGCACATAAATTAGTGCGGCCTCCCTTCAAGCGAATTTCTATTACGTTACACAGAACACAGAAAAGTATTTCCTATCCAAAGGCAGATGACTCTGTAGTGGCAAAAAAGAAACGTTATGCACTTCAGGAAATCTTATAATAACCTGATTCATCATCAATATTTATATCAGAGCTTCAAAAATCATATCAAAGATTTGTTACAGAGTTAGGCCTACCTTTACTGCTTTAGAGCTTAGCCAAAATGTGGGCACATAAAAAGATTTTTGCAGGGTTATGTTCGGCCAATTCGATCAAAGTTAAAATAACACGTTTCACTTGAATTCGACTCATCGACATTCGACTCGTTTAATTGATTTAGCATCTTTTCGTATTTGGTTAAAAGCTACGCCTTAAAACATGCTCCTTTACCTAGCTATCTTAGATAACTTGACATTTGCCAAATACCAACAGATGGGGATATTAATAATTTAGTTTCTATTTTTTCGAACCCATGTTAATTTGTATATGCTAACACTATTTAGCAACATCACGCAAATCGAGACTCTCCTAAGAAATTTAAGAAATTTTCTACAAATAAAAGTCCCAAAATATAAGGTTCCTCTAATTTTTTTTAAAAATCTAGACATCATTATCTTTTTTTTTTTTTTTTTTTTTGAATTTTCTAACCCGATTTGGCCTCTTAGCCAAATTTACCAACATGACGCAAATTGAGATTCTCCTAGAAATTTTAAGATATTTTCTACAAATAATAGGCCCAAAATTTAATGTTCCTCTAGAATTTTTAGAACACAACGTTGTTTTTATAAAAGCAACAATAAAGGGATAAGCCTGACCATTTTGCAACAAAATCCAGAAACCATTACGACCTATTGTTCGAAATGAACTAATACCAAAAGTAGACTGATAATTCGAAATATTTTCAGTAGATTCTCTACCAATTGAGACTCCAAAATTATTTTTTTATTCCCTCAGCCATACGGCTACAGACGGTATATATCATTTGATACGGCCAAAACGCCACTCATCGAAATAACGTTTTAAGACCCTAAGTCTTTTTTTGGGCCAAATCAGTTTCAGGACATTTGGAGTCGATCTAGCGATGTCCGTCCATCCGTCTGTCTGTCTGCTTTATTTATCTAACTTAGACAACTAGGCTTTTGCTCAATACCTATAGATGGCGCTATTGATAATTTAGTCTCAACGCTTTTTTTTGAGTTTTCGAACATACTTAGGCCTCTTAGCCAAATTTCCCAACGTGACGCAAATGGAGACTCTCCTAAAAAATTGAAGATATTTTCTACAAATAACAGGCCCAATATTTAAAGTTTCTTCTACAATTTTTAGAAAATTCAGAAACCATTAAGACCTATTGTTCGAAATAAACCGATACCAAAAGTAGACTGATAATTAGAAATATTTTCAGTAGATTCTCTATCAAATGAGACTCCAAAATGATTTTTTTATTCCCTAAGCCATACGGCTACAGAGGGTATATATCATTTAATACGGCCAAAACGCGCCTCATCGAAATAAAGTTTTAAGACCCTAAGTCTCTTTTTGGGCCAAATCAGTATCAGGATATTTGGAGTCGATCTAGCGATGTCCGTCCATCCGTCTGTCTGTCTGCTGGCTGGTTATAAGTTTCATAAAATGTGATGTAAGAGTCCGACTGTCTTCAAAGTACACACAAGATCTGCTGTGAAGATGTGATGTATCGGTCGACTCCTTCTGGTACCTCTGGTACCTCCCCCATAGAGAGCCAAAGTTTTGAGTATCCTTGAAGCTCATAAAACGCGAGATTAACATCCGATTCCATTTAGGCTTGGCTCATCTCAAAATTTCCATCAACACAAGATCCGTTATAAACATGGTAGAGATCGGACCATTTCTTCTCCCCCTCCCTCACATAGGGTTCAAGATTTTGAAAAACAAAACGCTCAAAGAAAGCGAAAAAGCTTCCAACTCTTCCAGCACGAGTTCTGTTGCTAAGATTATATATATCTGCAAACCGCATCTGGTACCTCACCCATAAAAAAACCGACTTTCAGCTCCTCTTAAATGGGAATTCTCTCAGAAAACGTTCAAATTCAATCTTCCAGCGGGTGCGGTCAACTTCATCTTTATTAGGAATTTCCCCAAAGGTAAATTGAGCAAAGGTCCAGAATATGGAAAATACCTTGAAAGAGGTTGATGGATACATTTATACCGCAGCTAGACCCTTATATCTTCGTCTAAATTTAAAATTTCCCATTCTCCAAATTAAAAATTTCCCATTCTCCAGACATTTTGGTATAGTGCATACATAGTGCAAGGGTTCTAGACCCTAATATCTTCGCCTAAATTTAAAATTTCTCATTTTCCAAATTTTGAAAAATTTAAAGATCATTCCTAATCACATGTATGTAAGTACGTAATTTCAATCCCAATGGAATGGGGAGAATTTTTTGTTGCCCAGTGTATGGAAGCTTAAAATGCATGTTACTGTTGTGGTGTAAAGGATAATGAATGTTAAATATTGTTGTTTTATTTTTATTTATAAATTTATTAATTTAGAAAATTTTCCGTTTTTCTTTCTCCAGAGGCCATAGGTAAAGCTGTTGAAGAATTGGTAACGGTCATTACCGAACAAGAAATTGAACAAACTTTGGAAGAAGATTTGGAGCAGGCTGATGCTGAGCAAAGCAACAATAACAACGATTATGATGATGAGAACACAACTACGACGACGATCACAACAATTACCGAGGATGCCAGCGAGACCACTATTACATCAACCACAACAACAACAACAAATAGCAATTTAAGCCAATTGACAAAGACGACGACGACGCCCAAGGCTGCATCAACGCCATATGCGTATAAAAATTAGACAAAACAGAGGACTTCCTGTTCGAACCAAAAAAAACGGATTCCAGAAAAAGTCCATGCAAATTCCGATTAGAAGAACACCGATTAGAAAATTAAATTAAAAAAAATGAACGAAAACGAAATCATAAAGAAATAATATACTTAAAAAAATACATATTAAAAATACAAATTGTCATACAAAAATTAAAAACAAACAAATAAAGTACTGTGTATTGTATTTTGTTTAAAATTAATATATAAAAAATAATAAACTAAATAATCAAACATAATCATGAAAAAAAACAACAAAATCCAAAATGGAAACAAATGTGTAATATTTAAAAATAGAAGAAACAACAAACGATTTAAGCTAAAAAATAATAACACAAATTATTAAAAATATTCTACAACAAGAAAAAATTACAAAAAAAAAATATTATTTTTAAATTATGAAAATAAATTATAATTTTATTAATTATAATTTACATTATTTTTATTTTTTTTGCAATATTTATAAAATAAGCAATGGAAAGCCAATACAAAAAAATTAAAAATATAATAATTATATAAAATACGAAAAAATAAATAAAATAATAATTATAATAAGAAAAACACACACACAAATATACAACAAATCAAAAAATACCACAACTTTACATATTATGTTTACAAAAACAACAACAACAACCACAACAAAAAATACCATTATTACGAAACTTAAAATAAGAATTGAATTCTTGTGTTTTAGTTTGTTAAGTTTTTGAAAAAAAATATACATAAATATTTACTTTAATGTCATATAAACTTTAAATTTAAAATATTTTCTCTTTTATTTCGTTTGCAGCTTGTTTCTTATTAAGTTTTAATTTTTTTCGCTATATTATTTTTTGTAAATCTTTATAAACAAAAATATATTATTATAAAAAAAATATTATAATCAACAATTGAAATTGTATATTTTTATTTTGAGTCTTCTTAAAGAAAACACAACCACAAAAATCCATTTAATTATGCCTTTTCTTTGCTTAAGTTTTAAATAAATATTATTTTAATTTTTATCAAAAGAAAATAAAATTATGAGTTTTTATTTTGAATTTTGTTCGAATTTAATTTATGAATCAGAATTATAGTAGGGACGTGGAAAAATTATTTTTTTAATACAAAATTTGAAAATCTAGATATGATGAAAACAGGGTTTCAGCTTAGTTCTGAAATAGCCAAATTTTATTTCAAAATTTAAAAATGGATACAATTTTCTCTCATGAAACATTTTAAGCTTCAAAAATGTTAATTTTCTGGAGTAAAATTTTAAAGAATACAAACTTGTGGCTAGTTCGTCATGTAAGAGTAATTCTCCAAATTTCATGTTCTCCAAAAAAATTAAACCAAAAGGAAACTATATAATATACTCAAAAGAAATATATTCATTTATCCTGCACAGGGTAAAAAAAAAACAGTAACAAAGTCAAACGCCATAATTTTTAAATTTTTTTTAATTTTTTATTGAATGAAAGCAACAACATTCGGATATATCATCAAATTTTAGAATAAGTTTAGATTTGTTCGAATTGGTCACCTTTGACACGAATTATGTCCTTCAAACGGCCAATGAAACCATCATACGCTGCCCGAATGTTGCTCTGCGGTATTTTATCCCATTCCCGGGATGAGGTGATCGACACTTTGGTATTTTTTAGTGCCAACCTTGCTTTTCAAAATACTCCAGACACAATAGTCCAAAGGATTGGTATCCGGAGATTTTGGTAGCCATTGTGCGCTGGAAATGAAGCGAGGAAACTCATTTTGTAACCATTATTGAATGTTGCGTGCTGAGTTCGATGGTGTTGAGTCTTGTTGGAATGTCCAAAATGTTTGCGTGCCCAAGGCTTTAATACACCCTCCAGAATAATTTCGCGGTAATATTCGGCATTCATTCTGATGCCACGGTCTATTAATACGAGCGGAGAGCGACCATCGCCTGTTATGGTTGCCCACACCATCACCATGGCTGGGGCTTGAGTTCTAGTGGCCAACCGAAGGTGCACATTTTCAGCTAATCTCTTTGGCAAGTAAACACGACCATTTTCACCTCAGACACCAAATTTCAAATTTCAGCTCTTATTTCCCCCATTACCAAATTTGGTACCCTTAAGTACAAATATAGTACGCATTTGCAAAATCAGTTCCTTCTCTCAACCACAGACACCAACAGTGACATCCATATCAAATTTCAGAATTTCTGCTATATTTCATCACCCAATTCCAAATTTAGTACCACTCTCAATTCCCAATTTAGTACTTTTTGTACCATTATAGCACACATTTCCACAACCTCTTCCATATATTAACCTTAGACAACAACATTGATCTTAATATCAAATTTCAGGATTTGAGGCCTATACTTTCCCCCATTACCAAATTAAGTACCAATTAGTACAATTGTAGTAGGCATTTTGAAAACCAGTTCCTTCTGTCACCCACGTACACCAATAGTGACATTCATATCCAAATTTAACTCGATACCAAATTTAGTACCATTATGTACTTTTCGTACAAATATAGGACACATTTTCAAAACAATCTCCATATCTTAACTTCCAGATTTCAACAGATGCCTCAATATCGAATTTCATGATTTCTGCTCTATTCCTTCCCCCAACACCAAATTTAGTCCTATTTAGCACTGTTCTTACAATGCAAAGGAGGGTATTTCCTTTTCATCATAAATAGGTTAGATAAAAATAATATTTTTTTTTTTTATTTTTAATTTTTTTCTCATATTATGCTTTATTTACTTATTATTTTCACAAAACAACACTTCTTCATCTCTTCTCTCTTAATCGAAACATCATCTCCCAACTCACTCATATAAAATCACCTACTCTCTCTCTCCCCACAAAAAAAACAAAACATGTGAACTCAAATCAATACGCTGACGAATACGATCATTAAATGGACCACCTTTTTCTACTATAAATTTGAAAAGAAAAAAAAAAGAAAACTAAAAACTAGGAACTCTACTACTATAGTCCTTAAACCTAATAAAATGAATCTAATACATCTAGAAAACATTTAAACTAAAAAAAAACCTTTTCAATAATTATATAAAAAGAAATTAATAAAATCATAAAAGAAATCCAAACATAGTAAAAAAACTCATATCAAATTACAAACTACAAGGAAATCAACAAAAAAACCAAGAAAAAATTAAACAATTCTAATGTATTATTAACAAAAAAATATACATTTTGCTCATGATTCTCTAACTCTTTCACACACACACCAAGCCATAGTAAAATATTTACATACATATATGAAAATAATAATAATCCTGATATTTAATCGAAAGTCGTCAAAAACCAGAAATTGTCTAAATCATAGTCAGTGTCTATTTACGTGATATCCAAGATGAAAATTAATATATTTATAATTATCATGAAAATGAAAACAAAAAAATATTGGAAATGGATCGGTTGCGGGGAAATGTCAAGGGTCGTTGAAAATTTATATGTACGAGAATTTTTTTTCTTTATTAATTATTCTCCATTATATTTTTCAGGAAATATTAATTTTACCATCAGCAGTTTAATGTTGTATTTTCATATTTTATAATAAGAAAAATATATATATATATATATTTTTACATTTATATCTATTATATATTACTTATATATTGCATTTTTATACATTATATATTAATATTATATTATTTTATTATTATGTTTTTTTTTTTTCAAAAACGAGGCAATTTAGAGAAAACATATTAAACGGTCTATGGTAAATTGCGCCTAAAAATATGCTCCAAATATTAAATATATTCCCCTTATTCACTTTACAGCCGTTTACACTGTACATCACTAACGATTGCTACAAAGAGATACCACGTGTATCGCCAGTTTGAAAGTTTGCGTCGAAAGTAATCTAATTAGGAGGGGAGGTGGGACAATATCCATTATTTTCAAATACTTTTATAACCTCCATCATTCTATGGAGGGTATATTAACTTTGTCATTCCGATTGCAACTCCTCGAGATATTCCTGATAGACCCTAGAAAGTTTATATATTCTGGATCAGCGTAAAATTCTAAGACGATTTAGCGATGTCGGTTTGTCTGTGCGTCTGTCCGTCCGTCTGCCTGTATGTTGTAATCACGCTATTTTTCGAACGAATTGAGATAGAAGGCTTAAATTTTGCACAAATGTGTATTTTGCTAATAGGCAGGTTAAATTCGTAAATGGGTCATGTCGGTCCACGCTTCTGTATAGCCCCCATATAACGTTATCACCCAATATTCGGTATTTTGATGATTTTGAAGACATTATTCACCGGAATTGGTTTAAATTTCGTATTTGAAGATCTTAATGGGTACTAAAGCCTATGCCTAAAATTCTCGTATGCAGGTCTACGTTTTCGTATAGCCCCCATATAACGGTCCCACCCTTTATTAGGTATTTTTATGATGATTTGGTACAATATTCACCGAAATTGTTTGAAATTTCGTATTTGAAGATCTTAATGGGTACTTCAGCCTGTGACAGAAAATTGTCTATGCAGGTCCAGGTCGGACGGAGATAATGAACTGCAACAAAGCCAATCGCTATAATTTTTACATTTTTTTCATTTCATCAAATTTTAGAATTAGTTTAGATTTCTTCGAATTGGTCACCTTTAGCACGAATTATGGCCTTCAAACGGCCAATGATACCGTCACACGCTGTCCGAATGTTGCTCTGTGGTATTTTGGCCCATTGCCGGCGAAACGCTTGCTTGAGATGATCGACACTTTGGAATTTTTTAGTGCCAACCTTGCTTTCCAAAATACTCCAGACACAATAGTCCAACAGATTAGTATCCGGAGATTTTGGTGGCCATTGTGCGCTTGAAATAAAGCGAGGAACCTCATTTTGTAACCATTCTTTGGGAACGCATGCTGAGTGGGATGGAGCTGAGTCCTGTTGGAATGTCCAAGGTCTGCGGCCAAAATGTTTACGTGCCCAAGGCTTTAATACACCCTCCAGAATATTTTCCTGATAATATTCTAAATTTATTCTGATGCCACGGTCGATTAATATGAGCAGAGAGCGACCATCGGCTGTTATGACGGTCCACACCATCACCATGGCCGGCGCTTGAGTTCTGGTGGCCAACGGAAGGTGCACATTTTTAGTTGACCTCTATGGCAAGTAAACACGATCATTTTGTTTGTTTACAAACTGCTGGACAACGAATGTTTTCCCATCGAAGAAACCCAAATTCGACAGTTCGCCACTTTCGGCCAAGCGAAGCAACTCGTTAGCTCTTTTGAGTATATTTTTTCTCTGTTGCGATGTAAGTTCTTGCACTTTTTGGAATTTCAATGGCTTTACCCCGAGCTCATTTATCAATATTTGCCGAATGGAATATTGCAATATGTTCAGCTCACGTGCCATTTTTCGGCCACTGTGACGCGGGTTTCGATCAAGTCGCTTCTTTACTCTTTGAACCATTTCTTCACTTCCTCGAGGTTGGGCTACGCTACCAGTATCACGGTAACGAACGATGATACGAGACACAAAAGATTTATTCACATTTAAATGCTGGAGTGCTCTAACGATAGCCACTTGTGGGTTTTCCAGCCAAATATAAAGAAATCACACTATCACGCTTGAATTCCATCACGAATAACTTTTTTTCTGGAAAATTCTCACCAAAATGCTTTTGTACACTTGTAAACAATATAATGAGCAGTCACTGGAATAATTTTAACAGCTGTCGGAGAGTGACAGCAGCCTGAAGTTGGTTACAGTCTGTTCATTTCACTCTGTATTCTAATATTCTCCCGTTTTATGGCCAAAAACTACCCGAAAATTTTTTTGATATTTGAGTATCTCTGAAAAGCCATTTATTTATTTATTTATTTTTTTTTTTTAATTTTTTTTTATTTATTTTTTTAATTTTTTTTTGTTTTTGAAATACATTCTCGGAGTCAAAAAGGTGACACATCATAGTTTACGTCACCCCCAAATATTCCCCACATCTGATCCATTTCTAAGACCTACATTAACCCACATATACGATATTTGAAATATTTACCACAAAAATACAACAAAAAAACATACAATTTTTCAAACTAAACTTTGTGACAATATAAAAAAAATATTACAAAAAACCAATTAGAAAAAAAGAAGTAAAATATCAAAACAAAAATCACACACACAAAACTGAAAACTATTAAGGACAACAATTTATGATAGTATTTAAAAAAAAAGATAAACAAATACGAATTTAGCATACAAAACAACAAAACAACAAAATTGGATAAAAACAAAATCAGCATATTCCGGAAACACAATATATCAATTTATAGAATTAACATATCTGCCATAGTTAATGTGAATTTATGAGAACCAAAAAAAAAAACAAATTTATACAATTTTAAAGTTTTATTTAAAAAAACATTTTTAAATTTTTAATGAAGTTTTTTTTTAATTCTGAATTTAATTTTAATAATTTTTTTTTATACTATTAACTTTAATTTCAATAACTGCCAATAGAAAATTTGCCATAAAACCAGCAACTTAAAACATATCCCTCACAAAAAAATGAACAATTTACTATTAAACATAGTCTTCTAACAACGATTTTTTATAAATACTTATATGAAAAATAAGATAAAATATTATATTAAAAATAATTATTTTAAGCATTAATTATATAAATAATTATTGTTTAGTTAATAATTAGCCATATTTGCTTGTGTACAAAATAAGAAAAAGGGGGCCTCTTTTACAAAAAATGGCAACAGAAGGGAGGATCGGGAGACCAACATGTAGGAAGTTTTCTCCAGGTGTTCTATGTATAGAAGATCCATAGGAGGTCTTAGAAGACCCAAAGGGGATCTTCTATGTGTAGAAGACCCATAAGGTCTTCTATGTATAGAAAATCCATAAAAGGTCTCCTATGTATAGAAGACCCACAGGAGGCCTTCTGTATGTGGAAGACCTATGGGAGGTCTTCTATCAATAGAAGACCCATAGGAGGACTTCTATGTATAGAAGACCTATAGGAGATCTTCTGTGTGTAGAAGGCCAATAGGAGGTCTTCTATGTATAAAAGACCCATAGGAGGTCTTCTATGTATAGAAGACCTAAAGGAGGTCTTCTATGTATAGAAGACCCATAGGAGGTCTTCTATGTATAGAAGACCCATAGGAGGTCTTCTGTGTATGGAAGAAACATAAGAGGTCTTCTACCTAAAGAAGACTCATAGAAAATCTTCTATGGATAGAAGAACCGTAGGAGGTCTTCTATATATAGAAGACACATACGTGGTATTCTATGTATAGGAGACCCATTGGAGGTCTTCTATATATAGAAGATCCATAGGAGGTCTTCTATGTATAGAGGACTTATATAAGCTCTTCTATTTAAAGAAGACTCATAGGAAGTCTTCTATAAATAGAAGACTCATAGGAGGTCTTCTATGTGTAGAAGACCCATAAGAGGTCTGCTATGTATAGAAGATCCATAAAAGGTCTCCTATGTATAGAAGACCCATAGAAAGTCTTCTATGTAGTCTGTAGTAGTCTTCTATCAACAGAAGACCCATAGGTGGTCTTCTATTTATAGAAGACCTATAGGAGATCTTCTAAGTATAGAAGACATATAGGAGGTCTTCAGTGTATATAGAAGGTCTTCTAGGTATAGATCACACATAGGAAGTCTTTTATGTAAAGACCACCCATAGCAGGTCTTCTATGTATAGAAGACCCATAGCAGGTCTTCTATATATAGAAGACCAATAGGAGGTCTTCTATGTACAGAGGACCAATAGGAGGTCTTCTATGTACAGAAGACCCATAGGAGGTCTTCTATGTATAGAAGACCCATAGGGGGTCTTCTGTGTATAGAAGATCCATAGGAGGTCTTCTGTGTATAGAAGACCCATAGGAGGTCTTCTGTATAGAAGACCCATAGGAGGTCTTCTGTATAGAAAACCTATATAGAAGACCCTAAGAAGGT